TCTTCCTCCTTCACTTTTCAGAATTTCTTTCTACTTAATCTGATTAAAAGAACTGCTGTGTCAGACCAGCAGGACAGAGAAAAGCACCTGCCAGGCAGATCCGTCATTAACCTGCAAGCAATGAGCCTAGCTCTGAAGGTCCCTGAGAGGTGTGCAAGTGTTTGAAGGAGGACTAAGAAGCCCTCTATGGAGCTGGAAGATGAAGGAAAGAATATCAAAATCATAGCACATCACTCCCTAATCTGCACAGCATATGGCAAAATTATTTAAACTGTCATGTTTATTAATAAAAAAGAAAAAAATCAGTAACTGTTACATTGTACTCTTCTACCAGGGCTTTGCAAAAAAAAAAAAAAAGTCTGAAAAAATCTGCTGAGGTGTACGCTGCGCTTGTGATACTTTTTGGATTAGGGGATTTTTTATAGAACTTTAGATTACTGCTCTTTTCTTAATAGAGCACCTAAAGTGCTGTCATTTAAACTGACATGCAGCTGAAAAGGGCGAATTAAATAGCTCTTAAACAGTGGCATCACTCATCCCCAGCTTTGTCAGCCCTGAAGTAGGTGGCTAGTAGTAGTACAGACTGCAAAGCTCCAATTTACCAATACAAGAGGCTGAGCGAGAAAAGAAGCCATTAATGATATAAACAAAACTATTTGATCAGGTGTGACAAGAAATCCTCTGTGGGAAGTGGGGAGCAAAGGGACAGGGCCCAAGAACATCCTCACTGCCCCGACCAACAATTTAGATTTTATAATATATGCTATGGTTTACACCACTAAAGACAGGGTCTGTCTAGCAAGGTAAAGATCTTTATAAACAGCAAGACTAGAGCCTTTTGGGGAGCAGGAACAGGGAGAAGACATCCGTTCCTCACCCAAAGCAATGCTGTGTCCAGGCCAGTAAGTCTTGCAGAGTCCTGCCTCTGTTAGACCTAGAGGTCCATCTTTCCACCTGCAGCACAGAAGATGATATCTAACAAAACATTCACTGAAACATGCTGCCATGACAAACTATAATTAACAAATAAATGAAAAAAAACATACAGGAAAATGACCCCCAGAAGTTATTTTCAAGTAAATATCCAGAGTGCATACTGCACAGTCTATTTAAATCTTTGTTACCCTCAGCAAAACAGTCTCTCCTGTAAATTGCAAGACAACTTCAGTGTGAAAAAACAGCCATGTGAAAATCACCAAAACCATCAGGGAATTAAGGAAGAAACAGCAATACACAGCCATGCACATAAACATGACAATGCTGAAAGAAACTGTAATTTAGAATATATTTTCTTCTTTCTGAACTTTGCTACTTTGAAGACAGACCTCTAGATCATTTCGGCAGATGCAAAAAAAAGTTACAGGATGAGTTAGAAAGTTACTGCACTTGGTAAAAAAAAAGGAAATAGAGAAAGCATATTCCTCATAAATATTAGAAGTCCCTATTCAAAAATAAAAATATCAGAAAGACCAGTGGAACCTTAAAAAGCACATGTAATTGCTAAAAAATGTTTGCAAACTTTCAGACTATATAGAAAAAGCAAGCAAGCAGAGCTTTTAGCCCTGCTTAGTGATTGTTTCCCAGCATGCAACAAGTCACACAAACTCCCCTACTTCTGCAGGCTTGCCTCTGTCATTACCACCCCCTGAAAACATGGACAGTCAGTAAACCCATGTAGGTTCCCTAGATGCAAAAGTATACTGTTACTTACTTGGTATTGCAATGACTGACCATGAAAAGATTAATTCTGAAACATTAACCGAAGCAGAGATCCTTATCACCATGCCCCATATTATCACGAAGAAATATCAACTGTATTGCCCTTCAATAGACACTGGGAAACAACCTACTTTATACCTCCATCTAGCTTGACCTGAAAGGTGTATGTGGCAATTTAATGTCTGCCTGACCATAATGAATGAGCATGGAGGTACTAGGAATACAACCAAAACACCAAGCTGCACCCTCTCACCTTGGTCAGGTACACCTTGCATTTTTGTGCAAGGATCAATGACTAAAAAATTGGGGATGGACAAGATGACACTAAACTTCACTGAATTATTCCTTTTCTCCAAAGGGAGCAGGTGAGAACAAAATGCATAAGAAATGGGACCTCCTAATAATAGTATCAAAAGCCTGAGCTAGCCAACAGATTTGTTCATGTTAAATGGTAGTAAGCAAGGTTCTTGCAGAAATTGCTTCTGCATAAGTATGGTTGATTATGCTGGCTGTGTAACACACCAGTGGATTTAGTCATGCTCATGTAAATCTTATTATTTAAATACTACATGATAACACTTGATAGACATGAACTGTTGAAGCAGACAATACCAAATGTTTTAAATTACACTTTTTAAAGATAATCTCATAGCAAGGATATAAAAAATAATGTTGCGGGAAAACAAAAAAGGCATCTTGAAAGCAAGGATTTTTCTTTGCTCAGTATACTAGAAATTCACAACACTTCTTACAAGCACAACACTTTAAAAGGCATAAATTGCTCAGAGATTTGTCTGCCTTGCCAGTTGTATGTACAGGGACAGAAGTCCCAGAAAAGCAGATGCTATTTCAAAACACAGCTGAGGTCTCCAAAGCTTTTGGGAGATTGGGATGCTCAATTCCAATTAAAATTTCAACCCGAGGCAGCTCCAAGAGCTTCACTAAGCCAGCATCTGTACAAATAAAAGTTTACACTGAGCATATTGCTCATGATTTTACAAGCATGGATTGAGTGTGTTTAAGCTTAATTCTCACTGTGGCTGCGGGTCAATGTTTCTTGCCCATAAACAAAAGCTGTCTTCAGCAGTCTCACTTGACAGGAGGCAACACTCATAGACATGTCTATTAAAACTGTAAGGTTTAAAGAATAGCATCATCTCTAAAGAAAACAAAGCATCCTTTGCATTAGGGATCCAGACACATCACATTACACAAATACTTATTTTCTTAACTATAGTTCTACAGCAACAACCAGCACACATAGGCACTCACAGGCACTTTTTCATTGTCAAAGAGGCCCTACGTCAAGTTTCAGAAAAATGTGTTCTCTTTCATACGTGCATGCACATTTTCCCTGGAAACTTGAAATAAGCAGAGCAGTTACACAATATTTTACCACAGAAGTGGTATCTTACAGGATAGATTTGGGATTTCAGGCTCAAACCACTGAGACCAAACCGCTACAGTAGCAATATTTCACTATAAAGACACCATACACACACCATGGTAGAAATTCCAATTCACTGTTAGCATTCCAGTTTTACAAATGCCTGCTATTCAGTAATGTGTGTTTACTGCATTTGACTTAAAACAAGATGCTGCTACCAACCAAAGAAAACAGAGTAAGGAAAACAGAGAAGTGATGAAATAAAACAAGAAAGCACCAGGAAAACAGAGTTTAAGAGATTCGCCGATATTCAAGAGCAAAAGTACCAGCCAATCTTAATAATTTCAGTTTGGTTGAAAAAGTTTGTACTACCTGTCGACTTCCCTGCTTGGAGGAGCAGCTGCTAGTACTTCTTGAAGGAGACAACATCTTCTGGGATACACCAAAGCTTTTTTCTTCACTCATGATCCAATACGGTTTGTTTCATGTAAGCTCACTTAGAACACCATTAAAAAGTAATTAGAAAATGTGTTGGAAGACTCCCGAGAGAAACGCAGAACTCATCCTTTACCCAAATGCAGTCCAGTGGCATGATCTGCATCCCATGGAAATTCCTAAAACAGAAAAGAAAAAGAAAAAGCAAAGTTATCAGATGCCATCTCCTACTGCCATCCTGTAGCATGGATCATGAAATTATAATAAAGCCTTTGGTAATACAAGCTGACTGCTTTGCCACACGCTGTTAGAAATAAATTCAACAATCATATTAAGATAAATTTTCAAGCCTCAAACAGGAACAATAAGAATTTTGGATCTTAAACATATGATTTAATTGCCACTATTTATTCAGAGGACAAAGTGCAGTATCAAGCATCTCTTTAAAGCTCTAAATTAACAATAAAAAAAAAAAGGTTAAAGACATGCAGAGTATCATAAATATCTATGTAAAAAGAACCAAACATCCACAAAATGAGAAGAAAATACCTAATAAAATGTCTCACAAAAAGGATGGTGATTAACCCCAAAAATCCCTCTTTTTCCTAGTTCCTTGGTAATTTAAACAAGTAAGCATGGCTTCAGGTTGTAAGTAAAAAAAAAAATATCTCTCTATAAAAAAGCAGTACATAAAAGTAGTGAGCAGACAAACTCAGCTGCATAGAGCTGTGCATGACCACTCTCACCTGGAATAAGAAAGTCATAACTATTGTCACATCAGTTGTCTCAGTGACTGGAAGAATAATTAACAGTCTGTTTAATAACAGTGCTGTTTGCAGCATATGCAAATAAAAGCCATGCCAGAAACTCCCAATAACGGATTTCCAGTGTGGGCAAGAGTTGTCATGGTAACTGCGTTGTTTTGGTTTTTTTTTTTTTAAACCAAGCAGAGGACATAACAAAAGGGTGATGCTTTCCAAAATTTGGGGTGGTGGAGGAGCTTTATGAATTGTGTATCACTTCAGATTTTACTGTGTCAGGCAAGGAATTTGCAAGAACCACCACTGAGGGAGGTAAGGAAGTTTCCACAATGAGAAGAGAAAGTTCATTGCCGAAATTGGGAGACACAACTTCACAATCCCCTCACTCGTGCTGTCAGAACACTCCTGAACTGGGATCACTCATTATTGAAGTTTGCCATTCATTTTTTCTTGAAGAGGCTTAAAAACCTATTCTGAGAGAAGCGGCATTTTAAGACCCCTAGAAAAATTGCTTGTGTAATTTGAAGAGTCTGTTTCCCTTAAAAAAAAAACCAAAACACCAAACCAAAAAAAATCCACAAAACCAGGTGCCGTATTTAAGATGAAGACAACAGTATGCTGCAGAAAACATCTCTTCGTACTGCCGTAGTCTGAAGCATCCACCATCCAAAGACATCTTCCAATCCACAGTGCCTCTCTGGCAATATAGTTTGCTGTAACATTTCAACCAACATGCCCTCTTTTCACCTGAAACAAGGTCTCTCTTCATGGCATTTACCTTACCTGGTTAGAAATAAACAATTACCCCCAGAGCGAATCTATGCTCAGCATAGATAGTCCTTTATTAAAAACTAGCACTTTTAATCGGTTTAGATTTATCTCACTTAACCCAGGTTTTCAACTGTGGAGTAAGTATAAAGCATAACTTCCTTGCTTAGTTTCAAGCTGTGTTTACTAAAAGAGTTTAATGATAGCATCTCTATTAACAAGCAGAGGTCAAATACTCACAACAGGAACGGAAACACGCTTCCTGCAAACTCGTCGTTCAGATACCCCCTTGAAAGTACCGCGCAGCAAGTGCTTTACTTTTCTGGCACTGTTTGCTCAGATACCCACCCGTCCTCTTCACCGCTCCACGCCCAAAAAGAGCACTTTATCACTTGGGCTTTCACTGGTGACTAACTGGCATTTTAGCAAAGATTGGCAGGATTCATGGCAAGAAACAGGCTCTAATCTGCAGCAAAATGCCCTGAAAGTTGCTGTCACCAGTACCTTGTGCGTCTATCTCCAGGACACACTGGGTATAAGTGAAACGATGCCCTTTGCCTGTTTGAACACAAAGCACAATGGGTTGTGATGTTCTGGAAGCATCAGATAATCATGAAAAAAAAAAACCCCCAAGGTCTCATGGACTTTAACACAAAAAGCAGCCATATAATGAGAAGAGTATTTCTATCACCATAGCTTTGGTGCAGAGTCTAAATGAAGTTAAGGTGTGGCTACATTAGCATTTTAGGACACAACAGAAGGGCACTTCTGCTGCACATCTCCTGGCCCCCCCCTCTTGCCACGTTTAGGTTTGCACCGCAGGGCAGTCTTGGAGCATGGAAACCAAATCCCTTCTGGATGAAATGTGCTCCAGGAGTGCATCCAGCGCGCAAGGTGGTGAGCCCACAGCACCAGGCTAGACCTAGTCCTGACTAGTCTCTTCCTGATGTGTAGATGTTGTCCTTGCCTTTAACTGGTTCACTATAAAGGCCCACTTCTATCACACTGCTCTGCCTGCTACCATTGACGTGATCTAGACACAGACTTGTGCCACCTAAGTACTTAAGATCTCCTAGAGCATTTATCCTTTTGGAATCAAAAAGAGAGAGAGACGGGCACTTTTCCAGAATTCAAATGAGCTGAATGAAGGTGGCTCAGCCACCTAACCAGAGGTGCTTAAATGAGGGGCAGGAGACAGTTTGGGTAAATCTGACAGAGAGCACCTGAAGTATTTTGTTAGTCTGCTTCCAAAATTGAATGTCTGAATTTTCCTTTATTCCTTCAAATTAATTTACTACGCAAGCTGAAGAAAACGCTTTTGTTACCAGCCCTGAAGAAGGCAGGAGTGAAATGTACCCTCTCTCCAAAGTGCTTTATTATTATTTTATTGGTGTTTCCCAGCAATTTAACTTACTATCTTGAGACTTCCAGATTTGAACATGGAAGTGTATGTGAATAACGAATATGGCCCCAACTCATCTGTGAAAGCTGCTGCATGCTCCAAAAACCACTTTGTGCTCCTTTCTTAAAATTCTCTTCAAGTTCCAGAAAAAAAAAACCCAAACCTGTGGTTGCCCTTCAACGATAACCTACTTAGTCTTCCGGGAAGGTGTGAAAACACTGATCCTGCATCCCAAACTGACTCTCATATTCTGGCTGACAGCAGCAGAGACTGGGCCTCTCTAGGGAGACTGATATTTCATATTACCTGTGGAACTTAAGGCTACCAGGTACAAGAGCAATTACAGCTTTAAAACAGGCATAAAAGTCAGTATTATGCTAACTAGCCAAGACTGCAGATAAAATAGAAGTTTTGAGCTCATCATGATCCAATTGCTTCAGGTTCAATGTATTTTTCTCCTCCCCATGCCACAGGACAGCCTCAGAACTGTGTTTGTTCCACCTTTCCCCTGGAGCACACAGTGCCACTTACTTTGGTCTACTCCAAAGACAAATCAAAGGTATGAGGCTGAGGTAAGTCCAAATAGATATAGGACAGGAATTTTCACAAATACTAAGTATTGGCCTAATTCTTCACTGTCAAGTCAACAGCAGCAAAAGTATGCCAAGAGTACTTTTGCAAATGACCTCACCAGGTGTGTTCTGAAGAATTAATAATACATGAGTATCAAATATTATTTATAACTACTACATCCTAAACCCATAAGCAGCATTTATCTCTACTTATCATCTGTTACTAAGTGCCTTATCATTCTACATCAATTAGAGCTAATGTAAACATATAACAACATGTACAACAGGAAGACTTATTTTTAAAAAAAAAAGTACTGTCCCAAGTTGTCCTGAAACCTTTAAAATTGCAGGGGTTCAAAGCAACCTCTCAGCATCACAATAGATCTCTTGAAACTCTCAAAGGAATAAGCTTACAGCAAAATCCAAGTTTATCAACATCTCACAAAAGATGAAAAGCAGAAATTCAGAAAAAAAATGGAAAACTGCAGTAAAAAAAAAAAATCAACATAATGCAATTATTTCTGTTATGGCTCTGGAAGAAAAATAAAGCCTTAACAGCTGCTTCAGAGCTGATTCAGCAGTGAAAGAACACTGAAGAGAGATTTTAAACAGCAAAACTGGAAGCGTACATCTCATTCTATAACTGTAGTCAATTCAGGTTTTGTGGATGGAAGAATAAAAACAAAAGAAAGCCTGATGAGAATCATGTGGACACAGCAAGCACAGGACTGAGCAATCCAAATCAGAGCTGCAAGCAACACTGAGTGACTTTCACAGAATTAAAAAAGAATCTGTGCTGAAACCTTTGCTCTCTAGCTAGTATTATATTAAGTTACATCCACTCAAATCCAGCTGGATAAACAAAGCAACAATCTTTTCCAAGTAATGTTTTCATGGCTTTCTCTGTTATAGTTCAAGTTGTCAGCTTTAATCTATCCCAGTGTCTCGTCTGGCTCAAAAAAGGAAAGACTTATCTATAGACTACAGGTACCCCATGTACAACTACTGGAGAATGCTTTTTGAGGAAGGCATTGGCTGTTCCTGATTTACCACCAGATTCATACTATTGAAGGGCAAAGCACACAAATACTGTAATGTTGCTAGCTGTTCTCTTCACAGAAGAAAACTTGCAGAAGCAAACATTAAATTGTTTAAAACAACCGAGTTATTAAAACTATCTTTGAAAGCAAAAGTTCAAACAACTTAGGGAGACCAACAATGACAAGAAGTATTTCAAAACTGCCTTCCATCAGAGAGGTGCTGTCTCGCTAGACGTCATTCAAATCACCACCTCTGCTGAGCGTTCTGATGCTTTCATTAGCCCCGGACACATATTACTCTCTGAAGTAGTCTGTGATGCAAAGAAACAGTTACTTCCATCTAGACGACCTCCTTGAGAAGGCTATTGTAGTAATTAAATCATGCTACCTCAGTGAGGAAATGTTAGTTCAAACAAAACTCTCCTAATTGTCTAATCAAGAGAGACAGAGTGGGAAAGGGAAAAGGCTAGACAAATGACAAACGACAAACATACCGCATTTAACACCAGATTACTTTTCATGTGTGATGTTCAGCACTTGATGAAAGAAAATCCTTTACGTTCCAATGTACAGAAAGCAAAAAAACCAAACCAAAACCCCAGAAACAATCCACTAGAATACATCCCAAGAAAGACG